TACCGTACGATGAAGTTAAGATGAACATATATGATGAACATAAATCGGTTATGAAGAAAATGAAACAATCATATATTCTTGAGAGGAACTCTTTTAATGAAAAACATATTTACATTTAGGAAAAGACTTCTGTGCATATTTGAATAATCTGACTTCAGTTCCAAAAAAAAATGCATTATTATGGATAGAGGACATGTATTATAGCCGAAAGCAACGGTTTGAAGTTAAAAACATCTTAAAGATAGATTTATTGCAAACATACAGCCTTTGCTTCACAAGACAATATCTGATGGACGTATCATGTGGATTGCTTGTGTATCATTGTAATGTTATAAGCAGCTGTTTTGTCTCTCATTCTGATGACACCCATTTGTTACGTCCCAGGACGTATGTTTAATTCTCTGTTTACATCTGTGGATGTGTGTGTCACCATTTATTTTTGTTTGTGCAATATGGTTGTACTTTGTTTTGTGTTGTTGTACTCTCTCTTTCCCTCTCTCTCTCCCTGTCATCCCTTCAGCCTGTTATGGACATCAGCTGTGCCTAATTAAAATCAAGTTTTTGGGGTAACCTGATTGGCTGACGAGATGGGAGCTGGTGGATAAAGCTGAGGTGGAAAGTCACAAAACTGAGAGCATTTCTTCCTCCTTCCTTCTGTGATTGTAGACTGATGTGAGAGCCTGCAGTCTTGAATATGTGCTACTAAGTGTTTCTTTTGTCAACTAAATGCTGATCTGTTTATAATTTGACTTTTGAATCTTTTTTTTTAAGCAGTAGAGAGGTGGATGCCTTTTACTTTGTTTAATCGCGTTTTCTCTTTTTTTTTGGTTAGATAGGGAGTGAGGTAAGAGCTGTTGTGGTTTTCTTTTTGTAAGTTTGTTCTTTCCACATTTAGTCTTTTTTGTTTGTTTTGGCCTAGAAGTTTTCTTACTGCTTCCTTTTTAAATGATGCTTCATTTTTAAATGAGACTCAATAAATGAACAATTGCTTATCAAATTTGTGTGGTGCTTGTTGACTGGGACAGGAGTGAAGACCTCCAAGGGTTTTACTTTACAATCCTTAGATGGGATATAACCCATTCATTCACTGCAGAGGATCCACTGGTGAGCGAGTGATGCAAGGCAAAATTCTCCAAATCTGTTCTAATGAAAATATTAACAGTTTTGGATGGCCTGATGGTAAGCAAATTTAAATTTTTAGGGGAATCATTCCTTTAATACTATGTTAAACGGGTCATTGAATGCTACATTCACTTTTATGAGTTGTTTGAATTGAAATGTGTGTTGGCAGTGTGTATGCAACCACTTTTTTTGGGGGGGTTTGTTTTTTCCCCCCTAAAATCTTTACCCCTTTCTCAAATAGAGCCGTTCTCAGATGCCTGTCTGTGTGATATCACAAAAACAGGCCTATCCCACGATAGTTTGATTGACAGTAGCGTTTCAGCACAGACTGGACTGGCGTCTTACCTTAGACCCGCCCTGAGTGATCTGTCATCAATCCGCCAGTGTTTCACCGCCGGAGCAGATGTAAGAGTCTCTTAAGCGACTGAGGTGTTCTGTTGTTTGATGTCATAATGAACATAGCAGTCGTCATTTACTCCTGACATCTGAGCCTCTGAAGACGCAGTGGATTACGTTTGTTTTGGAAGAGAATGCACCCCCGATCTACATAAATGCGTCTTATGTTCACATGAATCATTCGTTATCCAGCTTCACCTACAGAAGTGAGTTGTTTTTTTTAATGAATCTTTGCAAATCGCCTTTCCTAATAATGT